CTTGGAACAGTTGGAAAGGAAGATTCAGTGAATTCAATGCTTTCATGATTTCACCTGCAGCACGTTCTCACCGGCAAGGAGTGGGAATGGAGGCCCTATCCCGTTGAGATCGTCGACGGGGCCTGAGGTCTATGGATTGAAGGACCTGCCAATGAAAGAAAAAGTAAAAGTTAAAGAAGACAAGGTCTTGGCACTCAGAGCTTATGAGACGGCCAAGCGTGCTCACGAGGAGGACAAACCGTAGCTTCCTGAACAACCGCGTGAACGCGAAGGCAAGGCATCCATGTTCAAGCTGGTGGAGTTCAAAACTTTACTAGCTGAAGAGGGCGTTGTCAGATGCACCTTTGCGCAGTGCAGGTTCGGGGCAATTGCAGAGACGTTGACAGATCTAGTCGGCAACATTGAAGGTCTGGAGGAATTCCGTTGTGCAATCACCCAAAACGGTGGTGGCGTGTGCCCTGGAGCGGAAGATGGATCCATGCTGCACACCCGCCGCTCAAAAGGAAGACAGCGTGCCTGCAGCACAGCGGAGGCCTCCCACGAGGAGGCCCAAAGAACCCAGGGGATTACATCGCAAGACAGGCAGCAGCTCATCCCAAACAGATGAACAAAGCATTGGCTGGGGCATTCATCAGAGGTCAAAGCAAAAGTCGCACCTTGAGAAGGTGATTCGAATGACCGCTGCCACAGACCAGCATAAACAAGTTGATGACAGGCTCAGCCTTCGGAATGTCCATTCGTGGCTCACTGACAGAGCTAGATACATTGGTGTGCAAGTCTCGGAACGTCATCGAAGAGGAGCTAACAGCAAAACCGGAAGTCGAGCAACCGTTGTGGCTGAACATTACAGAGCACCAGTGCCCGGCGGATGTTCTGATACCAGAGCAGTGTTTTGACCGTGTCAGAGCAAGAATCTTGGAATTACTAGTTCAGAATTTGGAGGGCAAGGTGGACAAGAGCTGTTCAATACAACCTGTTGACACAGAGTGTTGCGCAACAGTTATCAGAGCGTATTTGTTGGAAGCTTGGGCTACAGTTGTGGATGATCCCGCTACGTCAGTAGCATCTTGGCTTTACGAAGGAGCGCCCGCAGGACTTGCAAGGCACTCTACGATGGAGTCTTCCCTTCGACCGAGTCAGAAGAGAGCCAACTTGAAGTGGAGGATCTGTCTACAGACCTGGGCAACTTTCAGAACTACTCTGGCGCTGACGAGGATGAAGAGGCCGTCCAAGCGTTGGAGAGCTACTATGAGAAGGGGAACCTGGCCAGGTTTGACACCCTTCGCCAGCTTCAGGATCACTTGGGTGATGAACCCGTGCTGTCAAAGCTTGCGCGCCTCAAGAAGCAGAAGTTCAATCCTGATACGGGACAATATGCGCAGAAGAACAGGATCATTCTGGACTGCGGATGGAACGGCGTCTCCCCAACGTCGGTCCGGAAACACAAGAGCGTGTTGCCACGGACCACTGATGCAGTGTCGTCTGCGTTGGAGTCGCTGGACATGGCTCGAGATGAACAACAATTGCTTGCAAAATTTATACATAGCTGACATTGTTGATGCATTCTGGCTGATCCCTCTGCGTAGGGATGAGAGAAGGTTCTTTTGTGCAAAGTTGCGTGACAAATATTACATGTTAAACCGAGCAGCGCGGGGTTCGAGGATGGCACCTTTGATTTTTGCTGCAGTGATGACACTCGCTTCCAGATGGGTGCCTTTTGGTGATCTCGCACCAGTGGAGCGTGTTCAAAGGCATGGCTTGTGATGGGTTCCCGCTGGCATTTCACAAGGCCACATTGTCGCGCGTGCTCACTTGGAGGTCACGGTGCCAAAACGACATTGCTGGAACAAGTGCCGACGTCCAATGTCACCTCTATCAAATCATTGAGGACACTGATAGGGAACCACAGTTGTGGTAACATGGGGCGCAAGTCCATATGCATGGGTGCCACTCTGCACGTTGATGGTGACGGCCAAGGGCCGGAGGTGTGGGAAGCATTGGCAGGACTGACTGCCATGAGGCAATGGGCGTCATGGTGGCAGCGCAGACACATTGCTGCAGGTTAGAAGCGACAGCATGGGTCGCTCTTTTCGACCCTGAAAGCCAGCTCGCCTGCGCTTGACTTGATCGCTCGGGAGTTCGCTCTACTGCAACGTGCAGACCTCAAATGCTCATGCGCGTGCCGGGCATCACCAACACCATGTGTGATGCATTGTCCAGAATCAATCAACGATCCAAACAATGACCCTTACTCTCCGGACAAGCGTGATGGAGCCAATGGGGAGAGATACGCAGTGCAGCGCCCTGAGGTCACCCTGTGTACTATGTCTTCAGGGGAGCAATAAATAATCAATGTCCTTAACCCCCGATTTGTTTTGGAGGGTTGCTCAGGTGAGTCTGCCCTGGTGCAGGTCTGGCCCTGAGCTGCGCTGGCCTTGAGGGGGTTGGGGTCTGCAGTTCCAAAACCATTGCGCAGGGATAAGCCAATCAGGCCTCGGTTGAAGACATCATGGCGAGTGGTCCCAACGGTCGAGGTGCTTGAATTTGATGAAAGACATGTATGCCTACTCGAGTCGGGCCACCAGAGACTCTCAGCTGAACGCGCGGACCACCTTTCATCGCCTGTGGTTCGGAGAAGAGTCCTCGGACGGCCGCTACTCATGACCGCCACACACGGAGCCGGTGGACTGGATCGGTTTCCCAACGGCTGGCCTTGGCCACTGGATGAAGACAAGTTGGTTCGTGTTTCGGGCTTGTTCAAAGCGGCTGGCTACAAGTCGTATAAGAACTATCTTCCGAGGGCAAAAAAACACCATGTAATGCTGGGGTTTTGCTGGACTGATCGCCTGGACATCTCAGCAAGGAAGTGCTCGAGGTCAATGCTGAGGGCCTCAGCTGGTGCTTCTGGGTCAGAAGCCTTTGACTTGGCTAGAGTGATGGGAGCTCTCACCGACAGTGATGGCCCCTTTCACCAAGAGGGACCTGTACGTGTTAGGAGCCTCATCGCGTGTGCGGCCATGTTCTTGCCACGAGAAGTTGAAGCCTCGGCGATTGACGTGGCAGACCTCACTCTGTCACAGACCGAAGTATCTCTGAACCTGCCCATCTCCAAAGTTGATTGGAAGGCAAGAGGTTGCGTGAGATCTTGGACATGCGGCGTGCGTCTGTGACACTCGACTCCCGTGCCCCTTTCACATCCTGCGACACCGCTACCAACAGCTCGAAGCCTTCAGAAAGTCGCGTGGTGAGGCAATCGAACTTGACAGCCCGCTGTGTGCAAGATCCCTGCCGAGCAATGGACTTGACCCCATCACCATTCAACTCATTGGAAGGTGGGGGTCTGACGCTGTCTTGACCTACCTCGCTGAAAGCCCTCTCGAAGGTTTCGCAGACAAACTTCTTGGCTCGCCAAGACTGGTTGATCCTGTGGCAAGGAAGAAGGCTCTGCAGAATCAAAGCACCTTGGACATGAAGGTCGGGCTTGACAGCCTGGTGATTGAATTCAACAGGTGCACTGCACTGCTGACCTAAAGCAAGTTCAAAACCCAACAAAAGCTTTGCAGAAAGGTATGACCGAAACCAATGAAGTGCTAGATGGAGTAGCAATTGTTTTAGATAGTCGACCGCCGGCAGAGCTGTGGACAATCGACAATGAGACACCAGGCGTTAGACACCTGGCCTTCGAACATTTTGGGTTAAAATGTCACCCAGATGTAAAAACCTCCTCCTCCGAGTCTGAGTCCGGTACAGATTCGGATGATTAGAAGAAGGGTAAATGTGGGCGCATGAATACACGCGCCAATCTCTCCTCTCTGATACCCACATTGTTGGAGACGTGTGGGTCTGGCTGAGATGGGTTGATGATACTCATCGATTTGCAGGGAGGAGGGCGGGAGAATGTTCTGGTTTCCTCGATGTTCCGAAATATAAGAGCAAGACGCTAAAAGCTTGGAGAGACTAGGTTTGAAAAGGCAAATATGTGGCGGCATGTCATTTCGGCCAATTATGCCCGTAGCCAAAAAATACAATTCAAGGAATCCTCAAATATCAGGCAGATTCGCATCAAAACCCACCTTATTATAAAGATGCGCAAATTCAGATAATACACCAACCACCACTCATTCATAATCCAACTCAAACTGAAACCCTTTACGCAACGACACAAACTCAAACGTAAAGTCTGGGATGCGTGTCGAAAGAAGAACACATACGGCGTCACGCATGACCCGTTTGAAAATTAGGTGCTTGCAATTTTGTTTACTCCAGTGCTGCCCCAGTTAATTTGCCCGCTGGAATGCCTAGTGCAGATGTTCCTGCTAGCAGTCCTGCAAGTTTGGTAAGTAGTTTCTAACATCATGCACATACCTCGTACCGGCAAAGGGCAACGTCCAAAGAAAAACATAATTTTTGCTATATATTAGTGTTGAGTTGTACCGGCTAAGTGACTTGGTGTACCTATATTCCTATATAAGTGTCTGACATTTCCGCCACAAACTGAAAGTGAGGTCGTTGCTGCCATGGCAAATTATTTCACTTGTGAATCGCCTCAAGCGGTTGCTTCAAAGCACCCTGAGGCTGACATGTTCTGTTTCGGCTTGCAAGTTTTTGTCAGCGCTTTGTGCGGAACACTGTTTTCTTCGCTTCTGTGTAGGAATGGCCCCTATTGGCGAAGAATGTGCTGAGTGCGCTTGGAAACTCTCGAGTCGCAACGAGAGAGGCATTTGATGCGCGCAGCAGTCCGATCGAATGGTGCATCGTTTTGGATTCCAGGCAGCAATCCATGCTGCACAAACTCTATTCCGTGGTAGGCAGTGGTTTGAGGCTCCAAAGCGTTTTTTTAAGAATTGACTTTGCAGATCCAACATTTTGTTGTGTGCTGAAGATGCTTGAAGGTTGCTTTCATATTTGATGAGCTTTGGACCATCACGGTGAAACTACTGGATGACCCTGTCTCAGATGGTCGACGGTAGACACAACGGTTGTGGCAGAACACCAAGGACATGGAAGAGAGAATCCAAGCTGTTGTCCCAGCCTCACGTTCATTGGCAAACAAAGAGCTCAACTGACAGTTACTCAAGCCTGCAAAAGTGCCACCAATGCTCAAGGCAGAGTAGTTAATTGCCTTTTCACATTGTTTGCTGATGCAGCAGATTTGTTGCGCGAGGTCAAACCTTTTGTTCGAATGATGAAGAACTTGACGTTGAGGCCACCAAAGGAAGGAGTTTAGAGTCTAGAGTTTTGTGTTTTTCGGTTTCGGTAGGCTCAGTAGAGTTGACCTGCAAGTCTCGCTCCCGCGCTTCAGGCTTTGTGATGTCAAGGTCACAGCCCGAAAGGACGGAAGGGAGTCCTTGCGTGCCAAATAGTCATTGTTTTCTTGTGTTGTGCCAGTTGCAGGATGTCCAGACCGCGATGGGAGAAATTGTGCCATTGTTGTTGCGCTTTTGCGAGTCTTGGGCTTCTGGCCTGATTGAAACTGATGAATCGATTGTATCCAACCCTTTGAGGCAGTACAAGCATGCGCAGCCTGTTTGCTTTGACCTTATGAGGCCAAAGTCCGCATCGCCGTTTGACTTTCTCGGGTACAAACTCCTCTGCCTTCGTAGGAGTGCGGTAGTGAACCTAAAAGCTCAGCCAAGAGTCAAGAGTTGAAGTGAGCAATTGACATATTTCTGACATTTTCTGATCGTATTCATGCAGTGCAAGCACAGGTATGTCTACATGTATTTGCATGTGGGCTGACAACCAAAGGTACGCACACTTAAGAAGGTTGCTTGGAAGCGAGCATATCCAAGGTTATGTGGAAAACTCATTAGAACTTCAACACGATGTATTGCATCAGCTGCTTAGTGCTTTACCAGATTAGTGCATGACTGCCGATCAAAGCCTCGAAAACAGTCTTGGAAAACGGCAGAGAGAAACAACCGTTTCTGAACACCGGATAAGCCGGTACGTGACCGAAGCGTCCTTCGAAGCTTCGTTGGATCAGGCCAAGCCAAACGTCCCTCCCCCTCTGCTACTTGTACTGTGAAACTTAAAGTCTTGGACTAGAGAGGAAGGCTCAGCAAAAAGAATTTCGAGAGTGAAGAAGAAAGCCTTCAGCAACAGCACGTCACACGCACACCCACCCACCCACCCACCCACCCACCCACACACACACACACACACACACTTACGCGCACACCCACACACCCACACACACACTTATAGAAATGTGTACGGAGGTGATTGCGGTTGCCACACGCCAACCTACAGTAGGTTAAAAAATGGCCTGAGTAAAACGGCAAAGGTAGGTTAGAGGCCATCGCTAGGAAGTTGGAGGCCATCGCCCAAGTTTGGAGGCCATCCAAGCAACAAGGTTGGAGGTCATCGCTACTGGTTGGAGGCCATAGCACCAGGTTGGGGGCCAGCGCTACTAGTTTACAAGACACGAACTGAAAGCAGCGTCAAACAACAGTTGGAGGTCATCGCTAGTACGTTGTTGGAGTTGGACGTCATCGCTAGCACGTTGGAGGCCATCGCACCAGGTTGGAGGCCAGCGCTACTAGTTTACAAGACACAAACTCAAAACACAAACTCAAAACGCATCAAGCAACAAGGTTGGAGGTCATCATTAGCACGTTGGAGGCCATTGCACCAGGTTGGAGGCCAGCGCTACCAGTTTGTAAGTAGGTAGAAGTAGGTAAAAGAAGGAAGGGAACCGACAGACGAGTCTGCCGACGAAGCCTTCCTCCTGTTACCCACTAGATTTCAGCAGGTACATGAGACTGGCCCAGTCCCATATCCCGCGATACCACCCAGCTTCGTTGGTCAAGGTTGGTGATATCGCGCTTCGACACCCTGCTGAAGTAAAGAAAGCAAAAACAAATTCGAAGGAATCCCTGTGACTTGAAGGGTTACACACACACACACACGCCTCCAACGAGGGGAGGCCCTGTTTATATCGCTGATGGAGGGGAAACCAAGTGCACAGGGACAACCAATGAGCCACACCTCCTTGTCACAAACCTCGGCCACCTAATACCTCTTTGAAATGTACGGGTGCACGTATACACAATAAGGGCCGGACCGATGTGCGCGCAAGAGAAGAAAAGGGTGAGGATGACGGGACACGAAGACAGAAAGGACATGAAAGAAAAGAACGAAAAGAAGTCTGCAGGGGGGCAATGAAGAGGGAACCAAATGAAAGGGCCCAGCCGATGACCAGCCAAACCTCATTGAAGAACCTGTTGTAAATGCCTCGTTTGTTTGGAGGGGTAGGGAGAGAAGAGGGGAAAGAGGAAAAGAAAAAAGAAACGACGATGTTCCCAGCTACGACACAAGCGTCCAAGGACACACCAAGAGAAGATGAGAAGGGTTCCCAGCTATGACGGAAGCATCCAGGGACACCCAAGCAAGAAATAGAGGGGGAGGGAAAGAAAGAGAAACAAGAGAGAGAGAGAGAGAGAGAGTGTGTCGTGTACCTGAGTGTTGCATCCAGGAACACCCCAAGAAGCAAAGAAGGAAGAGAGGGAAGGGAAAGGGGAGGAAAGGGATTAAGGCCCCGACAGGTCCCAATGCACCTTAAAAAAGCTTTGCCGCTCTCGTCACCTTGTGCCACGCCACAATGGCGGGCAGCTTGAGTCTGCTGTGGGCACGTTCTGGCTTGCTCGAAAGCTGCCTACTTAGTTTCAATAATCCATCGAGTCTTGGCAAGTAACTGTGGCGTAAGCCACCTACGCTCGCTGCGAGCTGCTCTGTATCCGGGCAGGGGATACGTTCGACAAACCCGCGCTCCTCGGGCTCACCCTGGGCTGGCATGAAGCCAGACACACTTATAGAAATGCGTGTGATTGCGGTTGCCACACGCCAACCTAGGTTCAAAAAATGGCTTGCGTAAAACGGCAAAGGTAGGTTAGAGGCCATCGCTAGGAAGTTGGAGGCCATCGCCCAAGTTTGGAGGCCATCCAAGCAACAAGGTTAGAGGTCCTCGCTAATGGGTTGGAGGCCATAGTGCCAGGTGTGGGGCCATGTGAGCGTGTGTGAGCGTGTGTGAGTGAGAGTGAGAGTGAGAGTGAGTGTGAGAGTGAGAGTGAGAGTGAGAGTGAAAGAGTGAGTGAGTGTGAGAGTGAGTGTGAGTGTGCGTGTGCGTGTGCGTGTGCCTGTGAGTGTGAGTGTGAGTGTGAGTGAGTGAGTGAGTGAGTGAGTGAGTGAGTGGCGGCCACGAAAGCACTATAAATAGAACGAACTAACTATATAAATTGTTCAACAGAAAATTGAAAAGCCTGCCTTGGGCCTACTTCAGGTCGGCAAATAGTGCAGTGGTTTGTGCCAGCATGCTGCGTGTATCAAGCAAGGCCATGGCCAGAACTGGAAGAGAAAGCGGCTAAGTGCACACAAAATGTTCATTTGACGCGGTAGCATGCGTGTGCGCGTGTGAAACAACCACATGCAACCGCAGTTTTTCCAAGACTCCGAGTACCTCTAAACCAATTTTTTTCCAGACTGCGCCTCTCTGAATCCAGGGAGCTGATCAAAGGCGCTACTGGAAGTCCGTTGCTGGAGCCGCACGTGCCGGAGACTTTGGCGACTGATGTTCGTGACAGGTGTTGATGAGACAGCGGCAAATGTACAGTAACGTGGGGAACGTGTGTATTTAGTGAGGTTTCGTAGGATGTGAGATGGTGGTTGTACATGGCCACATGTCGTTTGTCACATGGAATTTCGTTTTGCACAGGCAAAACTTGGTTCCTCCACTCCTGGTATCGTTGTCAATGATGGAGAACGATGCTTTGCAGTGAAAACCCCAGAGGTTTGTCAGAATTTTTTCGACGCAAGTGCTGCCACAGCTCTGAGGTATTACCAGTTTCACATCAGTGCAGCTTCGGAAGAGAAGGGCAAGGAGAGCACCCCCAATCAGTTCAAAGCCCATGGATGCTATGCTGCTATGCTTTACTTAAAGTGTTCCCTGGCATTTGTAGTTCTTTTTGTTTCAATCTGAACGCCATTGTTGCTTGTGGCTTGCCATTTCCTCAAGGTGCCACATGTTTTGCAGCACTGCACTGCTCAATAAATTCTCGCCAAATATTAGCAAAGTGTGTCGGGGTGCTGCTAAAAGAGAACAAATACGACAGGATGAGTGGTGATTGGGTTTGAATGCCACTTCAGCATTATGTTTAGCATGGAGTTGTTTGATAATGTGCCATCAACGACAGAGACCATTTGCGAACAAGACTTGAATCTTCTGGCAGCAGGGTTTGAAGAAGACTGTATATAACGTTTTTGTGGAGAGTCTGGATCAACATGATATGATTGTCAACACGAAACACACGAACACAAACTGATCCAACAGTTGCTGCAATTTGGTGTAACCATTCCATACCAGAGCGCTCGCATACTATATACATTTAGGTTACCTCAGCGGTTATATGCTTAAGACTGCAACCTTCTCTGACCTTTTTCATCAACGAATCATCATTCTACCAAAACTGGTCTTGCAAAGGAGCTGGAGGCTGCTCGAATTTCTAACTCTCGCGACAGCGAATCTATGAAATTGTCAGGTCCCAAGCCCTTCACCACATGAGTGCATCACGTTCAGCACTGTGTCATTTTGCTGTTGGGTGCGGGGAGTTTACTAAAGTCTGCTTTGATGTTTGCAACCCTAGGATAAAGCAGCTTATTCCTTTCATCAGCAAGGAGGTTGCTGATGCTCTAGCTCCAAGGCCCAGGTTGGTTTGGGTGAACATGATATGATGAAGTTTTTGAATGTGGTTCAGGACTCGAGATTTGCTTCAGCGAGGGGTTGGCGAGAAGCTTAGGTATCACTACAATTTATGGTTTTGCTTTCCTTCGTTCTTTGCTTTGTGCCAAACCAAGGCGCCAACACAAGAGTTGGTGTTTGCGATTTTTGGGTTGCAGTTTGTGCAGAGAGACCAAGTTCCGTGGAAACAGGCGCTGGCAAGCAAAGCTCTTAAATTTGTATACAAATCTTTTGCTGTTTGGTCGCATATAGCTTCACAAAATATGTAGAGACATGAGGAATAATATGGCCCAAGCCTCAGAGAATCCCATTTGAAGGACATTATATACCTGAAAAAAGACATGTTCCATACTCTGGACTATAGACCTTAAAAATATCATGCATGCCATTTAGAACACCTTTGAAGCACAGTTGCAGCCTGCGCAATGATGATCTCCAGTGTCCACGCTGGTCCTCCACCGTGCCGTCTCATTCGACCGCATGCTTTGGATTCTTCGCACTTCACCTTCCAAAAAATTCGCCTGTCGGCAACTTCAGGAGCTCAAAGCCGCAAGCGTCGTATTCCCATAGCAATCATGGTGGATGCAGCAGCTTGGTTCTTTCTGCGCTTCTTCACGATTGTGGTGCTCGGAGTGCCTGTGCAATCTATATTGAAACATCCGAAGAGTATGGATGCACCTTGGATTTGGTCTTTCTGGTTCCGTCTACCCATCGTTGTGGGTTTTGGATATGGAATCTATCCATGGTGGTCTTCAAGATGCAGAGAGATCTTTCAACCAACGGGAGATCTGCTTTCAGGGGTGTCTACCGTCTTTGCACCCTTAACGGCGCTGCTTTATGCCGCATTGGCAGGCTATGCAGTTGTGTCTTTGTGGAGCAGGCTTGAGAAGGTTCGCTCCTCACTGCACCAGGAATTTGCACTGCTCGAAATACTGGAGAAGAGAATTCCGAAGGAGTCCGAAGATTTTGACTCATTTGTTCAGTTGAATCAGTTGAAGTCAACTACAGTCAGACAAAGAAGCCATGGCAGAAGAGACCACACCTGAATTTCTGGCAGGATGATGCAAAGTTAAAGAAGCACTTTCAAGATCATGTCGATGGGGTCGAACAGTATGAAGTTCAACGGCACCTTGGAACACATGGAACATTCATGGCAAAAATGTGTTCTTGTTTTGACTCCACAATTGTTCATGCGGTTCATGATCATTGCATGATTCAGACCTTTCATGACTTGCACTCACATGAAGACCTTCAACTGCTAAAGGATGAAATAGAAATAGCATGTAGCACTAAATGCAACTGGACAGATCGATGCCCCAATTTGCTTCACGGAGTGTTGGCTGTTTTGCTTGGCTTGGCAGAAACACTGTGAACTCCTTATTGCCTCTTTTTTCAGGGGTGTTCCAGCACCATCTCGATTCAATCATTTGGCAGAACTAGCAGCTGCACCGGCTTTGGCGGACGTAGTTGCACAGCAAGAGATCCGAGAAATTGCCAAGGCGTTTGAAGTACTTTTCTTTTTCCACTGTGTCCAAGAGCAAGCTGTGCAAGAAGAAAGGTCAAAACTGTGTCCAAGTGCATCCGAAAGGTTCGAGCAGAACGTCGGGCAGCAGAAGACATTTGTTTCCCAACAGATCCTTGGACAAAAACCAAAATCCAAAACTCCTTCCACTGCGTTTGATGTCTCAAGGATAAGAGCAAAGTTGAAGCCAAGTTGCACATGTTGGGAGCCGTTTACACATCACATTGGGAAACATGACATGTGAATGGCAGCTTTGTCCGAATTACTTCCGGATCACAGAGCAACTGCGTGCTTGTTGAGCTGAGGTTGTTTGGGCCAGCTTGCGGCTGCTCACAGTGTTGCTTCTGACAGCCTTCGCGCTGCTATCGGGTCGATCTGGCTCTGTTGCAGGATTCGTCCGGCGAATTTCTCATCAATAGATGTTCAATTCTTAAACAGGTTTCTAAATTCAGATGTGAACAGTGTGAACACATTCTTCAAGAGGCTTCAAAGATTTCCAACCTCGCAGGACAAGGAGAGCGCATCCTCTTCTCGCTCCTAGTAGTGGTGTTGTTTTGGGTGAACCACCTTTGTCTGCCGCTCAGCAATAGGGTCGGAGTAGTCTCGATATTTTCTTTTGATCGTGGACCCATCGTTCAGGTCGAGATCTTGTGGACCTTTGTGGAGGAGACTTTCAATTGGACGTGGACGAGTTGAGGCCGGAGTTTATACACAACTTTTTCCTGACCCCCAAAAAGTAATTACGTAACATTCATTAACTTGTTTTGGGTAACCCTTGGTATGCTTAGGCACTCTATGGCCGAAAATAGCCTCAGCTACTCCGGGTATGCTTACGCAGTTGGCCGGCTAGGGTCCGGCAGCATGCAAACACATAAATGCCAAGTCACAGGTGATTAGAAATGATGTTTTGCAGAGGCCAAGCGTGCAACATGTTTGCATGATAGGGTCACTAATGGTGTCAAATGAGGCTCGCTGAAGTGATTTTTTTGCGTCTTCTCCCTTGCTGGAGGTGATTTCTGAGCCCAAAAATGATGTTTTGCAGGGGCTCAGCGCACACATGTTTGTGTGATGGGGGTGTCATTGGTGATCTTTTGATTGCCACGTAGGGTCAGGAAAGCATCAAAAAAGCGGCTTGGTGATGCAAGTGATGTAAATGACGCCGAGTAGTGCATCATTAGCATCACGAAGGGGTCTGGAGACCATTTTCCTTGCTTTCTGGAGCATCATTCATTAGCAGAAAGGTCAGGTAGAATGTCAGAAGGTTTGCTAGAGAAAATGTCAGAAGCTTTGCCAGATAAAATGTCAGAAGATAGTCCTGGTGGGGATCATTCAAATTGGGGATCACTCGAAATAAGTCCTTGAATTTGTTTGTAGAGCTTGCTTCTTGTACTTTGATCTTTGAGAAAAAGCACCCGACGACCAAAAGAGTCGAAAGGGCTGGACACCACGGAGGGAGCCCATGCATGACAAACCACCCCCAGAAGAGAATGTCAGAGGATTAGGCAGATAAACTGTCAGAAGATAGTCATGGTGGGGATCACTGGAAATGTCAGCAGATAGTCATGGTGGGGATCACTCGAAATAACTAAGTGATTTTTCTGTGGCCGTCATCAGCAGAAAGGCCAGGTAGAATGTCAGAAGATTTGCCAGAAAGCATGCCACAAGATATGCCAGAAAGAATGTCAGACGATTTGCCAGATAAGTGGGGATCACTGGAAATGTCAGAAGATAGTCGTGATGGGGAACGCTCGAAACAACTAAGTGAATTTTTCTTCTGTGGCCATGTGTGGAAGACACGGTGTTCACAGTTTCTTTTGGACACGGTGTTTTCGATCCTCTCGCCAAGACGAGATGCTGGACTCTTTCGGCGGCGTCAACTTGCATGAATGAAGTGGATGGCCGAATGACGGATGTGTAGACTTCAAGCGTGAGACCATTTGAACGACATCAAAGCGCTCAGGCGCGTCTGTTTCTGGGCCTCTCTAAGTGCATCTATGGCGCTCAGATAGGTCATTTCAATCCGTTTCAATCTGACACTCAGCAGAAATTGCATGCGCAAAAAGAGGAAGATTCTACTCAGTGCTTCTATTCAGAGAAATGACAAGTCAATGTGTTGATGTTGAATCATTGAAAGGTGGTTCTGTTGCAGCAAGCCCTAAGCTGAGACAGTGAAACGCTGGACGGAACATTGACTACAAGCAAATGTTTGATGTTGCAATGTTTTGCATAGCTTTCAACTTAGCCGCTTTTAAGATATGCTTCGATCTACTGCTGGTGCTCTTCTTGATCCCTCGAGGGAGGCAGATGGATGTAGACACAATGGAGGATGCATAAGCAAGAGATCAGCAGAAGGAACCAAAACTGTCAACGCCCCTCTTGCACTTCAGGTGAGGAGTGCTGCTGCATCTTGCTTTGCAAGCTTCGCACGAAGGAATCCACCACAAGAGCTGACAAAGGCTCCAAGCCAAGCTTGCGAAAACGGGACCTGCACATTTGAACATGAATGATGCCTGTAGGCATGACTTGCTTTGTAGCTACATGTAGGTGCAGCCTGATTTCTTTTAACCGCACATATATATATATATGGTAGAATGCCCCCATGAATAAACTCAGGGCAGGTGTCTCTTCCACCGCAGCATCGGGGCTCAAAGTGGGTGTTGATGGGAGGGGGTGGAGACCCTCTCCCAATTTGCGATAGGTGCCGTCATTTTGTGGTCCGGGAGGCAGGACTACAGACTTGCGGCCCCTGTCGAAAGGGGTATCAGCTTCAGGTGTCACTTCGGTCGGTGCTGACACCTGACAACGACGAGTTGGCCGTGGCTTTCTTAGAAGGCTGCTTTGGGTTGCTTGAGGATTGGCTTGTTGAGTTGAGAGGCATTGAGGATCGCGAGCAGCAGGGAGATAGCAACCGAGGAGCAGCCCGCCGAGAAAGACCAGGACGAAGAGAGGAGAGACCCCGAGATAGATCCCTTGAGAGAAAGAGAGAGCCCACCGAAGACGAGCCCTTGAAGCGAAAAATTGTTGACAGCCCGCAGAAGAGAGGAAACGCGGCCCATCCAACCAGCCCAGTAAAGGAATCAAGTACAGCCCAATTTTTTGAGCCAGTCGCCCATCTGTTTCCAGCCGAGTGTCACCTCCACCCAAAGCACCACCTACTGTTGCACCAGCCAGAGCCAAAGCGAGTGTTGCGCTTGTGGAAACCTCCCAATCCAGTGCACCAAGGCCCAGCAAAAAGGAGCAGGAGGAGTGAGCCACAGGTCTTGAACCTGGCCCCCAAGGCAAAGGAAATGCAGGCGAGACTGCGATTTGACCCGGTCCGGCGCAACCCTCTGCGGAGATCGTGTCGAGTGCGCGAAATGCAGGCGAGAGTGCGATTTGACCCGGTCCGACGCAACCGTCTGCGGAGATCGTGCGTGTCGAGCGCGCGAAATGCAGGCGATTCTAGTACAACTTTAGCGCGCGGAGTATGTGGGGAGCTGGAAGATGAGAACTGGCGAAGTTGTAGTACAACTTTAGTACGCGGGGTATCTGGGGAGCTGGAAGATGAGAACTGGCGACTTTGTAGTACAACTGTAGTACGCGGAGAGAGAACTGACGACTTTGTAGTACAACTTTAGTACGCGGAGTATCTGGGGAGCTGGAAGATGAGAACTGGCGACTTTCTAGTACAACTTTAGTACGCGGAGTATCTGGGGAGCTGGAAGATGAGAACTGGCGACTTTGTAGTACAACTTTAGTACGCGGAGCAAGGCGTGGAGGAAGCTGTGGAGCTGGAAGCTGAGAACTGACGACTTTGTAGTACAACTTGAGTACACGGAGTATCTGGGGAGCTGGAAGATGAGAACTGGCGACTTTCTAGTACAACTTTAGTACGCGGAGCAAGCTGTGGAGCTGGAAGCTGAGAACTGACGACTTTGTAGTACAACTTGAGTGCGCGGATGAGTCATCTCTCGCGGCTGCTCTGGCGCCCTTGCAGCTGAGTCATGTCTCCCGACCACCCGGCTCTCTTGAGAGGTTGACAAAATTTAGCTACTTTGCTTACTCATAAGCGGCTGCCACAAAAGAGTCATCGTGACGTTCGTATGTGTGTACTTCACCTTCATGACAAACGATGTTCGCTTGGAATACACGAGTCGCTTGTCATGATCGTGACGTCGTTCAGGTCGCCCTGTTCGTGGAAACTTCAGTGTGAAATGTACGTTCTTCAGTTCTAGTTGAACCTCTTCAGCGTTGTGCTTGCACGGCTAATTAAGGTGGACGTTGCATTGCCGTTGCATCGACGCATATACGTCTACACCCCCTCACCTCTCTACATTTACATCTTTCACGCGCTCACATCCGCAGATCTACCTCTCCACCTCACCACACCCACGCATCTGCGCATCTATATCACATCTGTACATCCACACTGTCGCTCCTTCGCATCTGTCCCGTCTTTCTTTCTTTCTACATATCTTTTCTCTCGTCTCTGTGCATTTACATCTTCGCACGCTCACATCCACAGATCAACCTCTCCACCTCCATGCGTCTACAGATCTATATCGCACCTGCACATCACACTGTCACTCCTTCACATCCACCCTCTCTTTCTCTCTTTCTGTACATCTTTTCGACAGCGCTGGACAATTACATGTCTCGCTCTCGGGCCAACCGGCGTCTAGTTTGGACTTCTGCGCACTGGTGAACTTTTAAAGGTCCAGGCCAAAGACGTATATCTCACTAGTTCCCGAGGACCGGCGGTGATTTCACTTGGTTTGACGAAATCCGGAGCCCGCCAAGGAGCGGCAGAGTCCGTTACCTTGTATGATACATCAGTCGTCCCTTCTTTATACCATGCCTGGAGGCGCCTTTTCAACCAAGCTCTGGAGGGAATGGGGCTGAGCTCCTTTGGCTTTAGGCCACACTCTCTGCGTAGGGGGGGGGCTACTTTTTCTTCCAGCATCACGGGAGTTTTGATAAACTCCTCGTTCAAGGCCGTTGGGCGGCCGCGAAAACCGCACGAATTTATTTGAACGAAGGCCTAGCCCAGTTAGCCGAGATTAGTGTCCCTAATTCGCGTCTGCGGTATTACATTTCCTTGTACTGTAAGCGCCCGATCCTTGAGCCTGGGACCCGGAAGGCTCCCAGAGCAGGGGGACGTGGAAAGGCTTCGAAAATCTCTGATTTTTCGCTGTTCAAAGGGTTTGGGAGAGTGAAGATTGACTAGGTAGACCCTCTCAGATGCGTTCGGGCTCATGGAGCGCCGGTTTGGCGGCTGCGGCCATGGGGGGCACAGGGGGGCGCCCCCTCTCCTCTGGTTTGGCGGGGAGAGTGGGGCCCCGACCCCGACGCCCCGACAGGTTGGTAGATTTTATGTTGAGTTCCGTTTTATCTGACAAGAATGCTGCAACTACTGGAAAAAGAACCTGCGACTGAGTTTATATATATATATATATTGCATAAGCAAGAGTGAGCAGCATGGACAACGGTGTGCCTTCATGCTCTCATGTCAACCTTCCATGTCAAAAGGTGAGTGCACACAGGTTCACCCATATTGGACTCCCCCTTGAGGTCTTTGACTTCAATCAGCTCAAGACCCTAACCATCGTAGTTGTCATTCAAGAACTCAAAGCTCCTGCTGCATCGGCCCGGGGCTCCTGGGGCCCGGAAGGTAGGTGTGTTCACCACAATTCTGCCTCGCTCCCCAGCTCCACCGCGAGCGTAACCGCGTTGATGCCCAGAGTTTGGTGCCGACTGGTCGCTCTGGAGACTACAATCCTGGGCCATCGCAGACTCAGGAGTAGAGTAGTCTGTTGGTGTTGGTGGTGGTGGTGGTGGTTGGCAGTGTCGAGGACAACGTGCCACTGCCACTCGAGCTGCCACCCACAGCCGCGCTTGCCATTCCAAAAGTTTGAAGGCAGAAAATCATGAGGAACACGTGAAATTTTCGCGCCCAAAGACTGGACCTCAACCGCCAGCTCCCATTGCAGTGGGCCGGACTGGCCAGAGAGAGAGAGCCAGAATATGCCACATGGAAGGTCATAAACTGTTCCAGATATACTGCCAATGTAGGCTAGATTAACTGCCAGAGCATTTGCCAAGTAAAATGCAAGATAGAATCTCAGCAAAGATAGACCATTAGACGGAGCTTCACACATCCAATTAACTAAGCTGGGTGTCGGTATCCTGCTTTTAACCTTTCTGTTGGACTCCACGTTGTTGTTGCGCACGTGCCAAAGTGACGTGTAGAGACATCCTGCGGCCTTCATCCCGGCAAAGTGGCAATCGGCTTTGAATGGCCGTAAGCGATCCGCGTTCGCCAGTGGTCAAAGGTCTGTGCTTGCCATGGAGATGTGATGCTCGCCATGCTTTGTAGACATGCAAATGGCAAAGGGGTCGCTGGAGGTTTCCGACCGGAGATCTGATACGCTTCTGCGCGTCGACGCACGGGCGCGTCCATGCTCAGACATCTCGCCAAGCTGGGTACGCTGGGCATACGTCGAGCTACTGGTCTGTACAAAGAGAATGTATACACAGATTCTGTGAGACGCAGAAGAATCCAAGAAAGTGAACAAGCATCCAACCAAAGTGAACCAGGAATTCCTACTTAGAGGAGGGCAACGAGCAAAGAGAAAGCAAAGATGGCTTTAGTACAAAGTATATATATATATGCAAAGAAACAACCATTCTTTGGACTCCCTTCATCGAGAGTTGATTCACGGAGCTTGGGTTCGAGGGAAAAGCATCGCATTTTGACCAATCGCTTTCCGCCATTTGCCATCGTTCGTGATCGATTCCCATCCATCAGTGCTTGAGACCTCCGGCTGCCGTGCATGGTAGCGGAGCCTGCGGGCTCCGCCGCCTGTACGGTTTTTAGTCTGTGACCGCAGAGCGCCGTTGCAGAAGACATGGCAGACCGAGGTATGCTTCAAGTCGAGCGTACAAAAGAAGGAGTCCCCATTTGGGATGGCAATGCTGCGACCTTTCAAGAGTATTCTGAGTTGGCCTTGCATTGGGAGCAAAGCGTAGCGCACCACAAGCGCTATTTGTGTGGGCCCCGTTTGCAGTCAGAGTTGACCGGAACCGCCCGTCGTTTCGTGATGTCCATGAAGCCCGGCTGGATTTCGTTTTCAGGTGGAGTGCAGAGATTGCTTGATCATTTGAGGCGCCATTTGGGACAGCCTCAGCTGACCGAGATGTCTGAGCATTTGGGCAAGTACTTGAAGCAATCCCGTCGGAAGCGGAATGAGTCGATGAATGACTACATCACAAGGAAAGGTGAGATCTATGCCCGAACATGTCAGACATTGCAACGAGTTTCTCATCGTTATTCCACCCGGAAAGGCCCAATTGAAACCGGAGGTGCCAACCCGGGATATTCATGGAGCCAGGGGCATTCCTCTGGCCACACAGTGTCGCAAGCAGAGCAGGGGGGTGAGGCCTACTCTCAAGAGAATGAAGATGAGGAGCAGTCCTT